TGTAGAAACCAGAAATATGACAAGTAGAGGATGAATGGTAAAGGCGTCCGCGTTGATCGATCTCTTTTCGGGAATGCGCCATACATCCTACTTCTATTTATAATCGTAGGGGCAATTGAGTGAGATTCGGCCTGTACAGTACCGTACGGGACAACCAGTGTATAAGGTCGTGTTTTATTGCCATACAATCTTGATGCAACCAGACCGAGAAAGATGAAAGGCTCTGTTGTTTTAGACGGCGTATGACTCCGGTTTGATCCTGACCGTGCGCGTGCTCAGTGGCATCAATTGCCACTGCATCACTCCCCCCCCCCAACATTTAAATAAATATAGCTGTAGAAGCAAAGATATGGTGATCATATGAACCACATTCTACAAAGCCTTAGAGAAGCTTTTTCTATCAAGAGATAATTAAATTTCCTAAGTAGCCTGGCCCCACATTAAGGGTTGAGCGGTGCTTAGAAGTCCCAATTCTGCTGTAGCAGCTTGAATTCACTAGCGCAAAAAGATCACCTGTGCATCATCCGGAACTCCCATAGTGAAGCACGTTGCAGAGCTACTAAATGATTACAACGCCAGCGAAAAGTGCACGGAAATCGATTGATTTACTTGGGAAAACTTTACCGCATGCTTTCGAACAGCAGTGCTTCATCAGTACAATTACATACTTTCTGGTGAATCAGTCACATGGTATTTACTGCTACGAAACGCATTGTCTTGCTACTTGAAAACAGCTGATCCATTCGCTGGTGATCGCATTATTACAGTTTACTGTGGAAGTGGCTCCTGATGGCAACTAAGTGACGAGTATCGTATGACAGACCAGTCGAATACCATTACTTATAGAATAAACATCCGATATCCGACGGTTCGTGGCTTGATTGATGGGCCTCTCACAATAAAGCCTTCGGGTACACTGATTTGGTTTGGAGCCTATGAAATATTTGTAGAAGTCTATTTACCTCTCCTCTTTATTAAATTTGATATTTTGAAGTACAATGTTTCTATTCCAACATAACTATTTTCACAATTATACTGGGTTGTGAGCAGGTCTTTCCCCAATGGGTTCTAGTCCCGCCTGGGGCGAAAGTTTTGTTCACAACCCAGCATTCTTGTGAAACATTCGCAAGGCGAACTGCGGCCAAAAACAGCAGTTAACAAACAAACAAATTACTATTTTCCCTGTATAAAACTCGGCTAAATATTACTGTAGGTCCCCTTTACTTCGTTCAAAATCATTTCGGATTACTACTGCTTCTACCGCTGTCCGGATGAACTCAATTCAAACCGGATGAGTTACGGTTGGTGGCCCACCCACGTTTACCTAGTACCCTTCTTGGTCTCGAATTTCAGTTGGGTTGTGGAAATTTACGGTAGGTGCTCATGAATCGCTTCGAATTTTTTGCTCTGAAGAAGGCAGGAGGCCGGAAACCAGCTCGAAAACTTGCTTTCAGAAACCCCAATCACCGCTGGACTACAATCCATAGCGAAAAGAAATGTGAAGCTCCCGGACAGTCGGCTCTCGATAGATTCGGCTGTCCGATAACCCAAGCTTATGAAAATAAATTTTGGCTGTACAAAAATTTTAGACGAGGAATTTCAAATCCTGACCGTGCTGGGAACTAAGTAAGACTGGCTCACAAAAAAAACTTGACTTTGGCTTCTTTAAGAAACTGTGGAGGCTCCTGATTACTCCCAATTCCCCTACACATAAATCCTTGGAAGCTAACTGGGTTTCGCTCATGAAGGGCGAGCATGTTACTTGTAAGGATTCTACGGAGCTATTAATACAAAATTATTACGTAAATGTTTTATAACAATGTGTAAAATATACTATCCGATATATTATAAT